CCACAGCCCGGTCATGTGCCCTTGACCGAAATCGAACATGGGACTCTTCAGTCTGCAGGCCAACACTCTATCCACTGCAGCAAACCAGCTAGATATAACAAAAACTCACATAAGTTTTGGAGCTTTAGTTTATATAATTTTGCTCCAGCTCTCACTGCGTTGTATAAATTGAGAAGTTACTCTTTTTTTTTAATTGATTGATTTGAGAGAGAGAGAAAGAGAAGCATTGATTTGCTATTCCACGTATTAATGCATTCATTGGTTGCTACTTGTATGTACCCTGACCTGAGATTAAACCTGCAACCTTGGTGCATCAGGATGATGCTCTAACCCTGAGCTACTCAACCAGGGCAAGAAGTTACTACCTACAGCACCAAGTCATCTATATATATAAAAGCTTAATAAGCAAAGTGTCCCCTCTGGAGTTTGACCAACCGGGAGTTTGATTGCTTGCTATGACATGCGCTGACCACCAGGGGAGCGGTGTGGAATGAAGGAAGGCCCTGGCCAGCAGCAGGGGAAGGAAGGCCCCAGCCATCAGCCACTAGGGACTCTACCTGTGCACGAATTTCATGCACTGGGCCTCTAGTCTATTATAAAAACCTGTAATGGAATGTATTTTAGGCATCTTATTGTATGTTTATAAATATAATAAAGAAAAATCTCATAGTTTTAAACCTTTTTTTTCTTCAAGTACCTCTAACCAAATAGGAATCTAAGTTTACATTGTTTTTCTACGCTTTTATTGTCAAAATATTTCCTGTAGCAGTAATGCCTTAAACTTTTGGAAGTGTCACATGCAAAAATCATTTGTTAATTAGATGATTTTGTGTGTATTTTACAATACTCTGCTTTATCTGGGAAGTATATTAGCATCAGTAGTTACTATGGCTCATAAGTTAATATATTCAACACCTTCAAGTTGTTCATGTTGAAAACTATATAAAGTACTTTTTAGGGTGGTTTGGAACCCACAGTTTACAACTGGGAATGGTATTTGCTAGCTCCTCCACAATGAATAGTAACTCAGCAGCCACGCTGTTTTGCAAGCCCGGCCCCCATCAGGCTGCTGGATCCTAAGACTTGCCTGCCGTTTCTGTGTGTACACAGACCGTGTGGATGCCTTTCTCTTTAAGATTTAGTTGTTTGCTAGAAATTGAGCTTTTGAATTTTGTTGGGTCTTTGTACTCCTCATTTGAAAAATATTTAAATGATATTGCCCAAAGGGCACACAGAGAAACAGCGTGACTGACTTTCGGGAAATTAGTAAGCAGCAGAGTTATTTTTAGCTTTTACTCTTTGCAAACATTTCCTTTTGTTCTTTAGAAGACATTGTTGATCTGTTCATTCATTTGCTGTGCTCTCTCCCCCACTGCAAGATGGCTTTAGATAGAATAAGCCTTCTCTTCTCCACTCTGCATGACATAACTGTGTTAATTCTTACTTTATTCAATTTTAACTCATGACTTATTCATTTGCTCATGTTTTCCTAGGCTCTGAAACACCATCCCCACCACCAACACACACATGCATTTTGTTGTTATTTAGGGTTGATTTCCCCTCATCTGCAAATATTGACTGAAAAATATTCACACTGGCAGCATGTACAAAATGTATATTTTATTAAAAATTGTCTAGTGGTAGCTGATAGTGTGAGTTTGCGTTTATTTGCTGTTAGTCCTTATTTTAAAACTATAATCTTTAGAAAAGTATGCAGTTCAGATTACAGATTACCAGTCCAGAATAGATGGTTACAAAGGCTGGCATGTGCACGTCAGCCTCATGTTTGGTCTTTGAAAAATCTTCCAGCACATAGAGGAAGTCAGGTTTCTACGGAAGTGCGCTGAGACCACACTTACTCTTCACATAAAGGCAAATGTGATATGATTTTTCTACTTCAGATCCCTTTCAAGAACACTTAGTCATTTTGTAACATTATAGCTTAACCTGTTATTTTTCCCATTTTTTTCCTATAAGATGGGGAGGCATTAGAGCATTTGTGGTTAAAATTGCGGGTTCTGGAGTTAGACCACATGGTTTCAAATCCTAGTTCTACTGTTAATCGCGGTATGCCTCAATTTCCTTATCTCAGACATTGCGATTACAGTATTTACTTCATACAATTGTTTTGGAATTTAAATCAGATACTACATGAAAAGGACCTAGCATAATGCCTGACATAGTGAAGTCTCAATAGATGTTGACTATTATAATTACTGTATATGTTTGTTTTATCTAAATGTAGGATCAGTTTTTTTAGAAGATTATATGTGAAAAAGAGGCAAAATACTCAGTTATCTGGAACCCTTTCTCTGCAAGAGTATTTTTATTGGGATGTCCTCTAACACAGGTGGCCTATTCCAGCAACCCAGCGATTTTAGTCTCCTTTGGCCCTTTAGGATTTGCAGCTCTTCATATCTAGGATCAGCACAATTAGAGTGGGAAGTCAAGCAAAACATTTTTTGCATAAAGGGAGGAAGGCAGAATGTGAGTTGGCGTTGACATCTGTGCTTCTGCCCTGGGCCAAAAGCAGAATGGTTATTGCTGCTGATTCGGCATCCCATCTGCTCCCTTCTCGGTGGTTAAGCCGCTCTTCCTTTCCCTTCCCTGTAGAGCCGCGGGGATGATGAAGTCAGGGAGTGAAGACTGGGATCTAAAGCTTGTGAAGAGGGAGGCCTATCAGATAGAGTTGCAGGGAAAGACAACAGAAGGATAACCCCAGTGACCCAGCTGGGAAAATGCGAAAACTCCGCTGCCAGTGGCAGTTTTACACAAGTTCTTTGGATGGTGTGAAGGTTAAAACCAGCCTGTTCTAGTCAAGTTCCAGCTCTCTGCTCAGGGACTTTTACTGACATCCAATTCAACAATTGACTAAACTTTCCCTAAACAACAACAGAAACCTTTATTTTAACTCTTAGCCAGAGCTTAGAAGTACTTTCTTTTTACAAGGTGTCAATGTAAGAAACATCCCAACCTGGAGAGAATTTTTATGAGTTCATCTGAGCCAAACTGAAGACATGCCAGAAAGCAAGGTCTCAAATGCTGCCTGCGAATGACAGTTCTGAAGTTCTTATGTTTGGGATTGAGGGACGTAAGGGAGATTACCTGAGGGTGGGAAATCTCTATGATTGGATTACAGGGTGGTTAAAAATTGGGTGCTCTCTTGGTGGTGGTTTTCAGAGAGGTCTGAAAAAGAGGCATTTCAAATGTGCATTAACCTAGATCAGTGATGGCGAACCGGTGACACGCGAGCTCATTTTTTTGGTTGATTTTTCTTTGTTAAATGGCATTTAAATATATAAAATAAATATCAAAAAAATAAATCTTTGTTTTACTATGGTTGCAAATATCAAAAAATTTCTATATGTGACACGGCACCAGAGTTAAGTTAGGGTTTTTCAAAATGCTGACACGCGGGGCTCAAAAGGTTCAAGGTTCGCCATCACTGACCTAGATACACAAAAACAGTGGACAGGGCTTGCTTAAGGCAAAGAGAACCTTTTACTAGGGAAGTTAAAGGCCTGGGGCATGGCTACCCACCTTGACCTGCCCAGTTAGGAATCACTCTGTGAGGTTACGTTAGGTCACTGATTTATTATAGCACCCCTTTTTTATTCACAGAAGAGTGCTTTAACTTCTGAATATATTCTTTGTTTCTCCTTTCTTTAGCCGCATTTATCTCACCCCTCTTGCCAACTAATACACAGCCTAACTCCCACTGAAGTGACATCTCATTTTATTTTTTAAATTTGTTTTAAAAGTTTTTTATTGCCCCGCCAGTGTGGCTCAGTGGTTGAGCATCGACCTATGAACCAGGAGGTCATGGTTTGATTCCCAGTCAGGGCACATGCCTGGTTTTCGAGCTCAATCCCCAGTGAGGGGGCGTGCAGAAGGCAGCTGATCAATGACTCTCTTTCATCATTGATGTTTCTGTCCCTCTCTCCCTCTCCCTTCCTCCCTGAAATCAATAAAAAGCAATAAAAATGCCTGGCCAGGGCAATGGCTGGCTTCTCATTTTACAGTAGCATCTTCTACCTAATCTGAGAGGTATTACTCAGACTTTCTATAAACATGGTTTTCTTAGACACACTCACTTAAAGTTTAGAACATAAAACATCACACATACACAAAAGGTATCTGTCTGTAGTGTTGTAATTTAACTCTTTAATTGATTTTGATTAAAACCTGAGTAGTTAAGCAGTAGAGAAGAATCAGTTTAGAAATCAGTAGAAAAATCCTGATTTTTTTTCCCAGTTATGATTTCTGGATAATTGTTCCATGTTTGTTTATGATTCAAAAGAATAAAACATTATTTTAATATAGAGTATTAGTGGTTATTTTTTATGCTGCTTGGCTGCTGTGTTTTATTTTCATTTAATTTTAAGGTTTTCTAAACCTTCATTTAAAGGGGCAGTTGAGCCAAAACTGGTTTGGCTCAGTGGATAGAGTGTCAGCCTGCGGACTGAAGGGTCCCAGGTTCGATTCCGGTCAAGGGCATGTACCTGGGTTGCGGGCACATCCCCAGTGGGAGATATGCAGGAGGCAGCTGGTCAATGTTTCTCTCTCATTGATGTTTCTGTCTATCTCTCTCCCTTCTTCTCTGTAAAAAATCAATAAAATATATTAAAAAATAAAGGGGCTGTTGACTCTGATTCTGACAAGTTTTAGAGAATTTTCTTTTTTTTTTTTTTTTAAATATATATTTTATTGATTTTTTACAGAGAGGAAGGGAGAGAGATAGAGAGTTAGAAACATCGATGGGAGAGAAACATCGATCAGCTGCCTCCTGCACATCTCCCACTGGGGATGTGCCCGCAACCCAGGTACATGCCCTCGACCGGAATCGAACCTGGGACCCCTCAGTCCGCAGGCCGACGCTCTATCCACTGAGCCAAACCGGTTTCGGCGAGAATTTTCTTTATATGTAATTCATCACCTATTTGTTTTTCATCCCTTGTTCTTGTTGTTTTAAAAAAAAGACCTCTATGTTTACTTTCTAGACTGATTTTGCGCGGTTTAGTGGAACAAATGTGGAAACTGACTTTGTAGAAGTGCCATCACAAATGCTTGAAAATTGGGTGTGGGACATTGATTCCCTCCGGAGACTGTCAAAGCATTATCAAGATGGGAGACCTATTATGGATGATCTGCTTGAAAATCTTGTTGCTTCGAGACTGGTCAACACAGGTATGACTTGTAATTTTAGAAAGGGAAAATAAATTAGAATTGCTTAATAGGGGATTGCTGGCATCTCCTATAGAACTGTTTCCCCTTTAATAATGACAGTACCTCCAGAGCACTAATGTGGGAAGACCACTTAATACACAGCAATACTGAGCCCTGGGATTATGTCCAAGAAAAAAAATACATCTACTTTTCCATCTTAAATGAGATGTTTTGCTTCCATTTTGTAATGAGTACTACAGGAGTCACTTTTGAAATCTATGATCTTGTGCTATTAGATCACACAGTTCTCTTCTGCAAAACATGCCCAAACATTCTTATGTTATTAGGTCTTCTGACCCTGCGCCAGATTGTTTTGAGCAAAGTTGATCAGTCTCTCCACACCAACACATCGCTGGATGCTGCAAGTGAATATGCCAAATGCTGCACAGAAATTTTAGGTGTTGCGGCCACTCCAGGTACGGAAGTTCTGTTACGACTTGAGTTCGTTTTTCCTGTGTCGCACAGGATGTGCTCCTCACGCTGCCAGGGAAGAAGGGGTTTGTCAGGCAGATTACCTCATGCATTTTGTTTCTGATTTCTGTCATCAGGCCATGACTTTCGGACTTTTCAGATTATGAGTTGTCCTCTCCAAATGTGCTTGAAGGAAAGGTGGCTCCAGCTTTTGCAGCATTTTAGTGTAATCAGGCGTGAGCAATTGGCCTCCACCCCAGAGCGCAGAAAGCCATTCACATTTGGCAGCACCCACCCTGCTCCTCCCTCCCTGTGTGCACCAGGACTTCCCAATGATTTCAGTAGGAAGCTGGGGGGGTGGGGAGTGGGGGTAGTTTTAGAGAGAAGCACGACTTCTGCGTTGTTTCTGACTCTGAGATCAGCTGGACTTAGATCTCTGACCTAATACTTAGATGATTCATGTGGGTGGGTGGATAGCTGCACACACATATGTGTTTACACTTATATTATGTATATTTAAAGCTAACATGTAGTTCTACTTATATGTAGTTGGTAAGGAGACTTTTTTCCACCAATAAGTTGTTATTTAAATGAATCAGTCATAGTTGTAGAGATGATAAAGTTCGGAATAGTCAGTAGAGTCTAAGCTCCTCACTTCCTTCTGTGACCTGTTTATAGTTGACCCTACAGCAGCTTTGTGCCTGAGGCCACTTCGACAAAATCCTTTCGAATGTATCCCTAGAGGTAAATGGAGTTGTTAAAAACCTTTTTATACAGAAAAAAAAACACCTTTTTAGCTTTTCAAGTAAAGAGTTCATTTTCCATAATTATGAACCTAATAAGTGCCGTTCTGACACATTTTAAATATAAAGATGTGACAAAGAATAGGCTTAATATTAGAGTATTTGTAAAACACATGTGTGTCTAAGGGAGAAGAAAGGACTGAGGGATTCTGAAACACTGAGCTATCTGATGGGCGTGGACAAAGCCTCTGAAACTATTGTTAAGCATTCCAGAGCTTAGGGCCGAAACCAGCTCTGAGGTTGAGCCATCCCTGGAGGGAAGTTTGTAAACATCTTGACCAAGGGCACAAGGAAACCCAGGTTGTATTGGAGGTGAAATCCTATCTCTCCTCCCCCAGCAGGGCTCCCTAGGAAACCTTAGCTAGCTGATAACCTGACCTGGTAATTAACATTTACCATCACATTGATTGAAATGTATCTTTCCTTAAAGGCACAAACATGCCAGCTACTTTTGGACATTTAGCAGGGGGATATGATGGCCAATATTATGGATATCTTTGGAGTGAAGTATTTTCCATGGATATGTTTTACAGCTGTTTTAAAAAAGAAGGAATAATGAACCCAGAGGTATTGTATTCTTTTCTCTTTTTGTTAATTTTAGTTGCTTTCTCCCCTTTAACTCCTAGTGTAAAATACGAATTACACCTAGATTTTAGAGTAAGAGATTTGGTAACAGCTTTTAACTTAAAGTCTTGCATCTTCTTAAATCATCACACTTCAAGTTGCAGCACACAAGTGATTAACTCTAATTCTCTATGTTTAAAAAAAAAAGCCTACTGCATTTTCTTGCTTATTAACATTCCAATATATTGCATAATTAAAATTGAAAGCTTTGTTTGTGCATTTGCACATTTATAGCTGCTAGTTTGACCTGTGCCACGCAGCGCTTTAGCTTTACGGGTGATTGGGAAAGAAAACCAAACTCCTTCCTCATATAAATGGTCTATTTGGGTTTTGATATTCTCTACGCACTTTCCTTATACGTTTTCTGTGGGAGACACCCTTTTTCTGTGACTGGCATACCCCGCCTACTGCATAGTTTGTAACCTGAATGCCTTTAAGTAATTTAAGCTGCTTCATTAACCTGAGCTGTTCCTTTCCGTGTACAGCGAGTTGACTGCCAGGTGGCTGCCAGCCAAACCTTCCTGAGTTACAGTCCCCCAGTCTCCAGTCTTGCAGAAGAGTCAGCTGTCAGATTTTCTCTAGGGCTAATGCATTTTCCACTGTGTGTTTTTATTTTTGTCATTCTGTTTGATCCAGAAATTAGAAGAACAAATTACCAACATCAGACTCTCTGTGCCTATTTCAGCTAGCTGATTTGTTCCTCAAACTTTATGTTTCTGGGTTGCATAGTGCCTTACATGTTCACACTGAATGCATTGATGTAATTTAGATTACTATCCCTCCCACCCCCCCACCCCCCACCACCACCACCACCATCACAAAAAATAATGATAATAATAAAACCCACCTCCTGTGTACCTACATTCTATACCAGCCGTGGGCAAACTACGGCCCGCGGGCCGGATCCGGCCCGTTTGAAATGGATAAAACTAAAAAAAAAAAAAGACCGTACCCTTTTATGTAATGATGTTTACTTTGAATTTATATTAGTTCACACAAACACTCCATCCATGCTTTTGTTCCGGCCCTCCGGTCCAGTTTAAGAATCCACTGTGGCCCTCAAGTCAAAAAGTTTGCCCACCCCTGTTCTATACACTAGCCTTTCTAATCACTCTGTCTTCCACCCTCCCCTACCCAAGCTGTGAGGTCCCTTTAAGTCTCCTTCATTCCTGGGCCAGCTCATTTACAATGGCAGTGGTCAACCGTGGACTGCTGTTCTCATAAATATCCTGACTTCAGCATGACCTTCAGCCAGTGCCCAGCCCTGGATTCCTCCACCGAGTCATTTAGAGATGGTGCCCTTGGGGTTCAGCATGTTCTGGGGAAGATCGTATGACTCCATTAACATGCCCAACTACAAAGTCATGCTGTCCGACTGAACTGGACACCACTGTCACTCTGCAGTCCTGCTCCACTCCCTTGTTGAGTTCTCCTGTCTCAGAAGTGATTCCTCTAATACTAAGCCTTCCTAGTTTGCCATCTTGGAAAAAATCTGGGGCTATTGCTGTTAGCTCTGATAACCTGTGTTCTTTCTTACACAGTCTAATTTCTTAGTGTAAGAAACAGTCTTTGCAAACCTCTATTTCCAGGCTTTTGCCTCCGCCCACTGAATTGGAAAGTTATCCTCTCTCCAAAGTTACCAAGGATGACCCAATCGGCAACCTTTAAAGGCGCTTGTCTACCTTTTTGATTATTGTAACTTCTTGTTGCTTGTTATTCCTCTCTTTGTTCACAGCCCTGAGGTTAGCAATCCTTCCTTCCCAGAACCTCCTGAGTTCCTGTAGGTCTTTCCCCCTTCACAAATATATTCATTCTATTTCTTCCACCTAAAATGTATGCCTTCCTTGCCTATGCTTCTCAAAAAACATTCTTTTTTTTTTTTTTTTTTTTTTAATATTTTATTGATTTTTTACAGAGAGGAAGGGAGAGAGATAGAGAGTTAGAAACATCGATGAGAGAGAAACATCGATCAGCTGCCTCCTGCACATCTCCCACCGGGGACGTGCCCGCAACCCAGGCACACGCCCTTGACCGGAATCGAACCTGGGACCCTTCAGTCCGCAGGCCGACGCTCTATCCACCGAGCCAAACCGGTTTCGGCGTCAAAAAACATTCTTAAAGGCCCTACTCAAATGGTGCCATCTTTCTTGGCAGTTAATTTGCATATCACCCTGATTAGCCAATGGAAAGCGTAGCGAAGGTACAGTCAATTACCCTGTTTGTCTTTTATTAGATAGGATAGACTCTCTCTGTTTGCTGTCTCTGTGTGTTTTTTCTCTAGTTTTTTTTTTTTTAATATATTTTATTGATTTTTTACAAAGAGAAAGGGAGAGGGATAGAGAGTTAGGAACATTGATGAGAGAGAAACATCGATCAGCTGCCTCCTGCACACCTTCCACTGGGGATGTGCCCACAACCACGGTACATGCCCTTGACCGGAATTGAACCTGGGACCTTTCAGTCTGCAGGCCAACTCTCTATCCACTGAGCCAAACCGGTTAGGGCTTCTCTAGTTTTTTATATTTTTCACTAGAAGCCCAGCACGCAAAATTGCGCAGCCCCGCCCACCCGCGGCAGTCTTTAGTTAGTCATTATGGCATTAGGGCCACAGCCTTTTATGATATAGATAGTAAATAGAAAATCTTAACTGTTTAAGTAGTTTGTTAAATGTTATCTAAAGTTTTTGTTTCTAGTGGAAAATGGAGAAGCCTCATTATCAGACATATCTTTTACTTCTCCAACTGGTCTCTTAAATCATTGGAAGTGCTTGAGATGAACACTTTTCCAGTCAGCTCTAAGAGCTCTTGAAGGATATCTGTAAGGTCACCAAATGTAGTTTCAAAATCCAGCAGCTAATCATAGGGTTGAAAACACGGGGCTTTTAACTAGGGCCATTTCTTTTTATAAGACATTTCATCGTGGGAAATTTTCCTAAGAAGTCATAGATTGTGGACTCAAAGGCAATTATATTGTTAAACTAGAATTATCTTCCTCCTCTTTTGCATTCAGAGAAATTGCTAAGCTTTTTTTTACCATCAATGAAGAAGAAATGGCAATCAGGTATCACTGTAGAAAGGAATACCAAGAAAATCAAGATAAAGTGAAGCTATTATATTTAATGCGTAATGCCCTAAAGAAGCAGCTATCTTACATCCAGTAATAGACCAGACACAGAAACATGAAGAATCTTGGTTAAACATGAAAAACAACCTGGCGGAGAACGTGTGCTGTAAAGCTAAATATTCCAGTGCTTTCCACATAGAATCCTAAACCCAATTCCTGCTGTTATGTGTTGCTAGGGGAGAATAGGAAATTTCCTCTCCCGACAGGCCTCACCAGTGGATTAACCTCTGCTTCAGCTCTCCTAATCTACCACCCAAAACTGATTCTTCTTACACTTCAGCCTTTTCTGAGTTAGATTTTGCCTGATTTAAAGGACAAAGGAAGGAAATAGGATTGATTTCCAACCTGCTTTTTGAATATTTACAAGGCCAGACCTGTAAGTCTAGAATCCCAAACAGCTAGAAGCAGTTTTTCTTCCTTTGTGTTCTTACAGCCCTCCTTTGTGTTTCTCTTAGAGCCCTAATAATCTGCCTTGTTAATTCCCTATTTCTTTATCTTACCTTGTAACCGGAACGGTTCTATTCAGCTGTGTTTTTGTCCTCTGCTTCAAACCTGTTACATTTAATTAGTACTGTTAGGAGTGCGTACCTCTTGGGATCTAACCCGTAGTTCTTAGCCTATCTGCTTCCATTCCTCTGTCCCCCTGACACATACTGCTACCCAGGGTATCTTTTTTCTCCTGATCTCCTCCCTCCCCTTAAATAAAGGTCTATCCTCCTAGCCTCACAAATTGAAACTTTGCTTAATGTTTCCAGAAGGCCACTTCTAGTCAAGGGACGATTCCTGCCACTGTTCTTGTTTTTATCCCCTGACTACCAGCACCAATCTTTCACTCTGTCTCTCCTTTGTTGTTGTCAGAGGTATTCTTTTTCCACCCACCATCTCCCCACCTTCGGAGAAAACAAAGGGTGTACTGTTGGGAAGGAGCTTGCAAACAGGCTGCAGAAGGAAGATTTCAAAGTCCACTTTTAAAGCAGGCCCGGGAGCCTGTTAGGTGCCGGCTCATCATTCCCTGCCCTGCGTGGATGCTCTGCCGGATGCCTGTTATTCAGTGTAGGAAGGAGCCGACTCTGGCTGCACTCCCCAGAGTCCATCATCACGAGCAGGAGGAAGAGAGGGAAGGAGGTTTGGAAGGCAGTGGGCGCTTGTATGTGCTGCTTTAGAGATGCCAGAGGTAGCAGGAGGCCCAATCTGTTTCCCATTTACATAGTATTCTCATTACTCGTAGATTGTGGACATCCTTCATTCAGGTAGTTTTGAATGCTCTTAAAGTATCACCTCAAATAAAAGGTACATATTCTTAGATAAAATGAGTGCCTTGTCTCTCCTACTTAATATTCTTACTGAATTACAGTTCTTACTAATAGTGGAGATGAAGTCTGTTGTGCTTTTTTTTTTTCATGTGTAGTAAGACACAGAAGTAATTTTAAGGAAATACCAAACCAGGACTGCATTTGTTTCCCTGAAATTTACATGAGAAACTGAACATAGGGCAGTGTCAGAGGGAAGGAAATGAAAGGGGAGGGATAGGTGACAACTAAGGTTTATTGAATACTATATGGCAGGTATTAAAGTAGGGAGTAGGCAATGTACTGAAATCATCTCCTCCGATTCCCCATAAACCAGCCGTGGGCAAACTACGGCCCGCGGCCGGATCCGGCCCGTTCGGCTGTTCTATCCAGCCCACTGAGCTGAAAGAGCGGAGGGTTCTCTTGCTCTCCCCTCCGCTCCTTCACCAGCAGCAGTGTTAACATGGCAACGTCGGGAAACATGGCCGCAGCTCCTTCTTCTGAGTCCAGTTTAAGAACCCATTGTGGCCCTTGAGTCAAAAAGTTTGCCCACCCCTGCCATAAACTGTGTGAGGTAGGCATTTTCCCATTCTACAGGTAAGGAAACCAAGGCAGAAGGTCACATAGCTGAGGGTGAAGCCAAGAGTCAAACCTGGGCCTGACTCCAAAACTCCTGATCTGGCTTTAGAAATCACCCCTGTTAGAGAGGACTTGCCAGAAGATACACTTCCTGGATGAAAGACCAGAGAGGTGACTGATGGTGATTCTCCTTCGTGGAATAGGTACTAGGTGCTCTTACTATATGCAGATCCTCCTGAAGGGTTTCTTTAGCCTGAAAAATGTTAGTGATTGTCTTAGAGCTTCTCTTCCTGCTTTCCTCACAGTTGAAGTTTCTTTACTGTCATATGCAAAGTAGAACAACTTAGTGCAAAGACTTCTTCCACCTGTGGCATGTGTCTCCCAGACCACGTTCTCTCACCCAGAGGGCCCGGTACCTTCCAAAAATGCAAAAATTCACTTAACTCTTCCCTTCCTCCCTCCCTCCCTCCTCCTCCTCCTCTTCTTCTTCTTCTTCTTCTTCTTCTTCTCTTCTTCTTCTTCTTCTTCTTCTTCTTCTTCTTCTTTTTCTTCTTCTTCTTCTTCTTCCTCCTCCTCCTCCTCCTCCTCCTCCTCCTCCTCCTCCTCCTCCTCCTCCTCCTCCTCCTCCTCCTCCTCCTCCCCTCCTCCTCCCCCTCCCCCTCCTCCTCCTCCTCCTCCCCCTCCTCCTCCTCTTCTTCTTCTTCTTTTCTCTCTCTCTCTCTCTCTCTCTCTCTCTCTCTCTCTCTCTCTCTCTCTCTCTCTCTCTTTTTCTTTCTCTTTAATCTGTTACCAAGACAACTCTTAAACTCTTCTCCAAACTTCATTGCTAAGGAAATGAAACTATTAAAAGGCCATTGCTCTGTAATTCAGGAAATTGAATCAACTTGTTTGGAGCCCTGAGCAAGGAGGACTAGAGCCGCACTGAGCCCGTACTGTGAGACTAAACAGTGCCCTGCTCTGCAATGATTTGACCACGCAGAGGAGGATGAGCTGCTCTTCACAGCACCATGCAGCTCGCCCAGAGCTTTTTTTCACCACCTAAACTACAGTTCTCTGTGCACCATGAGAATGCTTTGTAAGATATCAACAGTTAGGGTAATTTCTTTTTTACTTTATTTAGATTTTCACAAAAGTTCCTATATTTGTACAATGAAATATATCTAATAAATAAAAGATTCTTAGATCATGAGCATTAAAAATTTCTGCAGGTAAATATTAAAATTATTGAGGTTGGGTAGTAGTCACATGATGGTTCATGATACTGTTTTCTCTGCTGTTAGTATATATTTTAAATTTTTCTGTAATAAAAGGATTAAAATATTTTTATTAGACTGCAGATAAATCTCACTCACATTTTCTAACTTCTTCCGATACTGCTGATCCAGAGAATGTAGTCTTTCCTTGCCTCTCTTCCCCTCCCTAACTTAAAACTAGTCAAATTTAGAGACATCAGGCAATAGATGGAAGGGGAGGGGGGAGGTAAAGTATGGTTAGGCTCCAGAGCTCTGATTTGCTACTTCTTGAAATAATAAATTCTATGACAGTCACTCACATTTTAGGGTCTAGATTGATAGCCACATAGACTATTGAGCACTGGAAATGCGGCTAGTGCTGCTGAAGAACTGAATCGAGATGTGCTATAAATGTAAAAAACACACTAGATTTTGAGGACTTAAAACAAAAAACATCTCAGTAATATTTTATATTGACACTAGAGGCCTGGTGCACAAAATTCATGCGTGGGTAGGGTCCCTAGGCCTGGCCAGCGATCTGGGCCGATTGTGGCCTTTTGGCTGCTGACTGGGGCCTTCCTTCATTCTGCGCCACCTCCTGGTGGTCAGTGCACATCATAGCAAGTGATCAAACTCCTGGTTGAACTCCCGAGGGGACCCTTTGCATATTAGCCTTTTATATATATAGATATGTGGAAATAATATTGTAGATATACTGATTTAAATAAAATATTTTTCTAAAATTAATTTCACCTATATTTTTAACTTTTTAAAATGTGATCACTGGCCTGTGTGGTTCAGTGGTTGAGCATCAATCCATGCAACAAGAGGTTGTTGATTCGATTCCTGGTCAGGGCACAGGTCGGGGGTTGCAACTCGATCTCCAGTAGGAGGGGTACAGGAGGCAGCTGATCTGTGTTTCTATGTCTTCCTTCTCCCTCTCCCTTCCTCTATCTCTAAAAAAATTAAAAAGATGTCATTATTAGAAAATTCAAAGGCATATATGTGCCTCACATTGTATTTCCATTAGATAGTATTGCCCTAGAGTTTATGAGAAGATAACTTTATGTGACTGATTATTTATTCCTGATTAGGGCCCAAGACTGTAAAGTTAGATGTTAGCCTGTAAATGATTAAAAAGCTGATGGTTTCTGTTTATAATCAAAAGATAACCCCAAAAGTTTTCATTTTATGGCCCCCTAGGGTACTAGTTTTGTATCTAGTTGGTAGATTTCATTTATCCATATTTTCTTTTCTTTGATGGTTTTACTAGACTTATCTCTCATGGTTGTACCAAGCAGAATCATTGTTGTAAGACAAAAGTTAGATTACTTTTGTTTCTGGAAATTGTTTTAGCTATTCTTTTTTAATTAATTTATTGTTATTATTGTCTAGCTATTCTTGTATTCAAAAACACTCTTGGTCCTATAGATCAAATGATATAATGGATATAAATTTAAGAGTGTTAACTCTGAGAACTATGGTTTAATGTTTCTATTTAGAATTATGCTTCATTGAATTGTCTTGCCTTGCTTCCCTAAAAGGACAGTTAGAAGGAAGTGAAAATATTGAATAACATGGATATTGAGTTACAGTTCTTTTCTTTCACTTGATCTGCTCATGTGTTTATGTACATAAAGGCATAGGAAATGTAATAATTTATGAATTTTTAAAAAAATTTTTAATTGATTTGAGAGAGAGAGAGAAATACTAGTTTGTTCTTCTATTTATTTATGCATTCATTGGTTGATTCCTGTATTTGCTCTGACTGGGGCTCAAACCCGCAAACATGGTATATCAGGATGACTCTTGAATGAACTGAGCTACACGGCCAAGGTAGAAATGTGATACATTTTAAAACTGCAGCTCTGGTTCCCAAAAACACCTTTCCAAAGGCCCTCATTTCCAGTGCTGGGCCCACAGAAATGCCTCACCCTGCACCATGGGACATGTGCTATTCCTACCCCCTCGTCCGCTTGGAATAGGGGTGATTTATGAGCCCCTCATAAAAACAGAGAAGAAGCCAGTTGGCAGGAGCTGTGTCACCATTTCCAGGTACACAGAACCCTGCTTGTGGCCTTCTTGAATACTTGGCTTTGCTAACCCTTTTGAAATCACATTTGAGGGGTGGTAATAAATAGGAACCTGTTATACATTCCATCTGGCAATTTTTAAAATGTTTTATTTATTGATTCTTAAAGAGACAAAGAAAGACAAAGAGAGAGATGTGAATGTATTGTTCCACTTATGTATGCATTCATTGATTGCTTTCTTTTGTGTGATCGAACCCCAACCTTGGTGCATCAGGACAATGCTCTAACCAACTGAGCCACCCGGCCAGGGCCCACCTGGCTGTTTTTTGTTTGTCTGCCTGTTCACATTGTCAGTTTGCTGCTGAGAATCAAAGGAGACAAGACAGTAATAAAGGGAAGTATAGAAGACCAGAGGTCAGCGCTTCAGATCGCTTAGCTACCAAAATAAATAAATACCGCAGAGCTGCCGCCCAGACGGAGTAGAGCTAAAAGTCCCCTTTTTTTCTCACTCCTACCCCTTTCTTTTTTGTATCTAGAGGTTTGTGAAATCATTATGACCGTGAATTGTTAGGCATGATGTTTTATTTTATTAGGTTGGAATGAAATACAGAAACCTAATCCTGAAACCCGGGGGATCTCTGGACGGCATGGACATGCTCCAGAATTTCTTGAAACGTGAGCCAAACCAAAAAGCGTTCCTAATGAGCAGAGGCCTGCACGCTCCGTGAACTGGGCTCTCTGGGAGCGGTCCATGTCTGCAGGACAAGTCGACATCGCCGTGTGTGCTACTGGCCTGGAAACTGAAGGGAGTTTTGCAAATGAAAATGTAGATTTCTATTGACTGCCTTTTGTTTCTTGATTTGAAGAATTACACAGATGTAAATGGAATTATAAATACGGTGACCTACGGAAAGACCCATTCAAAAACAATTGTACTATAAAATTTCATAAAAATAGATTTGATTTCTTTTTCTATAAAAGTTTCATATGAATGTCCTTTGATTTTTTTACTCTTGTAATCTAAATAATATAATGTAAGAGGGCTCAGAATTCTTAAATTGAATCACATACATTATATAATTTGATCCTACTTATGTCTTGCAGTTCTTTACTTGGGATTTCTGGACATAAGTGAATCACCACATTCCTCTGGTGAACATTTTCTTGGAGCCCCGCATCCACTTTGACTCTTTGTGTCACAGTCAAGTGTGACCTCTTTGCCTACATACCTCAGGGCCAGGGGAACCTGCCTCAGTAATGCATTTATCTTTGTATTTCAGGCCTCGTGATTCCAACTTTCTGCCACACTTAAATTATGTTCCTCTATTTGGGTTTGTCTTTTCTGTCCAAAGTCCAGTCAGAGAATACCGAACAGTTATGAACTCTAGCCTTGTGTAGATTGCAAATTTTTGTACCTTGTTTAGACGATCTGGGGAGCTTGTATTAGAGTTCATGTTCACGTCGGGGTACAAGATTGTCAGTCTTTTGGCTCTGTAGCCAGCGAAAACACTGAAGCAAGGAAACGTTCCCCATATCACGTTTCTAGTAAGTGGTGGGGCCTCTGCCTCATTTACTGCCCACCTCACCCAAAGTGGCTGGTCCACCTGCCCCAAGTGGCTCCTTAGAGATAGAAGCTGACGCAGAAGAGGTCCGGAACCGCAGTAGAGTGGCTTCCGGACAGAGCGTCTTCGAGCAGCTCTCCCAGGTGGCAGGTGTGTGCTTACACTCAGCCACTTACTGAGGGAGGGGCCTCTTCAGGAGTCTGTTTTCAGAGACTCTTGGGATCTCTTTCAGCAAAATGGGGGCCTGAATTCCCGTTCTGTAGCAGACCAGTAAACTCTCAGAGCTTATTTTTCCTCTAGGAGTCTACTCAATAAGAAAAACACAACAGGGTAATAAAACTTTTTAAAGGAAAAAAGCAAACTTTGAATGTACGCTACCTAAATCTTCCAGGTGCTCCCACTGTGTGCCTGAGGTCTGACTTCACTGGCCGGCCACAACATTAGAACCTTTTTATTGTCTAGTCAAAATGGACTTTGTGCTAAGTAAAAAAATATATATATTATGCTGCATAATAAAATTATAGACAGCAGGAGAAGTCGGCAGCTTTAGAGACACAGAAGCAAACCCCGAGTTTATGAGGGCCAAGCAAATACCTTAAACATCCACATGAAACCCTACCCTCCCTTTGGAGACAATTGCCTGGCCCTTTTCACTCCCCACTCAGTCAGTGTCACCACCTCTCGTCCCCAAAGCTGTTTTTTATGTTCTTAGCAACCTGTGGTACTTTTCTATATTTTTCCCCCAGACTGTTCTGTTTTCCAGTTTCAGACAAAAACTCTCTTCAGCTTTTTCTATTGCCCAGTGTTTCTCCTTAACAATAACTTTATCATAACTCTTAACTTACTTCACGTGGAAAAACTAATACTTGGTGTGAAAAAAGCTGCACACAATAAAGTTGCATTTATTATCCACGAGAATGAGCTCACATTTCTTTCATACATGCATGTGAAAACTGAAGTGCATAGAAGAAATAAAGCTATGTTTTTTTTTCACTTAAGGTGCACATCTAATAGTTAAAATCTGCCAAAGAACAGCAACAAAAATACACACACAAATATGTATATATTCTCTGGCATAATTTAAAACTAAGGACTTAGTTGTTAAAGCTCTTTTGAATGTGACTATCCATCTGCTTGTTCTTTTTTTCCAGATCTGCACATAAAGTGTCGACAAGGCACTCTGAATGGTGGGTAACCATAAAAATTGTAGTTGCACAATCTACACTTGAGGTTTGTGGACTGAGCCCACACATAAAGTCTCTCTTGCCCTAGCCAGTTGGCTCAGTGGATAGAGTGTCGGCCCAGAGTGTGGACTGAAGGGTCCTAGGTTTGATTCCAGTCAAGAGCACATACCTTGGTTGCAGGCTCAATCCCTGGCCTTGGTCAGGGCGTTTGTGGGAGACAACCAATAAATGTGACTCTCATCGACATTTCTGTTACTATGTCTCTCCCCCTCCCTTCCTCTCTCTCTAAAAATCAATGGAAAAATATCCTCGGGCGAGGATTAACAACAACAAAAAAGATACTTGAACCCTGGCCAGTGTGGCTCAGTTAAGCATCTTCCAATGCACCAAGAGGTCGCAGGTTCAATTCCAGGTCAGGGCACATGCCCAGGTTGCGGACTCCATTCCCAATTAGGGGCGTGCTGGAGGCAGTCCATTGATGTTTCTCTCATCAATGTTTCTCTCTAAAATCAATAAAAACATATATTTTAAAAATAGACACTTGATGTCTCTGTTGACATCTTTGTGGCTAAGATGAGGATATGCCTGGATAATCATTAGTCAGGTGAATTCCTAGCTATTGAAACCACTTAAGAGAGTTGAATAATGATTCACATTAAAAGTTTTGGGAGCCGTAACCGGTTTGGCTCAGTGGATAGAGCGTCAGCCTGCTGACTGAAGGGTCCCAGGTTCTATTCCGGTCAAGGGCATGTACCTTGGTTGTGGGCACATACCCAGTGGGAGGTGTGCAGGAGGCAGCTGATCGATGTTTCTCTCTCATCGATGTTTCTATCTCCCTTCCTCTCTGTAAAAAAAATCAATAAAATATATATTTTTAAAAAATTTTGGGAAATTTCTAGTTCTTTGGGTGAAGACACAAGAAATTCCATAGACAGTATTATTTATTTATTTATTTTGCATCTACTTTTTCTTTTTCATTATCATTATTAGCTAAGGTATTACAAATAACTGTGTCCTCATCCCCCCCATTAGCCCCCAATTCCCCCCCTCCTGCCCCACACACTCATGCTCCCATCCCCCTGTTGTCCATGTCCATTGGTTTGGCTTATATACATGTATACAAGTCCTTCGGTTGCTCTCTTCCCCTTACCCCCGCCCTCCCCTACTTTCCTTCTGGGGATTGATAGCCTGATCGCTGTTTCTCAGTCTTTGGGTCTGTCCCTTTTCATCAGTCTATGTTGTTCTCTATAATCCACAAATGAGTGAGATCATGTGATATTTATCTTTCTCTGACTGGCTTATTTCACTTAGCATAATGCTCTCCATTTCCATCCACGCTGTTGCAAAAGGCAAGAGTTCCTTTTTTTTTTTTTTTTACTGCAGCATAGTATTCCATTGTGTAGATGTACCACAGTTTTCTAATCCACTCATCTGCTGATGGGCACTTAGGCTGTTTCCAAATCTTAGCTATGGTGAATTGTGCTGCTATGAACATAGGGGTGCATATATCCTTTCTGATTGGCGTTTCTGGTTTCTTGGGATATATTCCTAGTAGTGGGATCACTGGGTCAAATGGGAGTTCCATTTTTAGTTTTTTGAGGTAGCTCCATACTGTTCTCCACAGTAGCTGCACCAGTCTGCATTCCCACCAGCAGTGCAGACGGGTTCCTTTTTCTCCACATCCTCTCCAACACTTGTTGTTTGTTGATTTGTTGATGATAGCCATTCTGACAGGTGTGAGATGATAACGCATTGTCATTTTGATTTGCATCTCTTGTATAATTAGTGACTTTGAGCATGTTTTCATATGTCTTTCGACCTTCTGCATGTCCTCTTTCGAAAAGTGTCTATCTAGGTCCGTTGCCCATTTTTTTATTGGATTGTTTATCTTCCTTTAAGTTTCATGAGATCCCTGTAAATGTTGGAAATTAAACCCTTATCAGTGGTATCATTGTTCTCCCATGTAGTGGGTCTTCTTGTTGTTTTGTTGATGGTTTCCTTTGCTGTGCAAAAGCTTTTTATTTTGATGTAGTCCCATTTGTTTATTTTCTCTTTAGTTTCCATTGCCCTAGGAGCATTATCAGAGAAGAAATTCCTTCGGCATATGTTTGCAATTTCGCTGCCTGTGGATTCCTCTAGTATTTTTATGGTTTCCCGATAGACAGTATTATTAAATTTACAGATAACAGCAGGAATGTTTAAATATGACATTATTAAGATTTAGGTAGCTTAAGAGGGAGAACCAAGATGGCGGCATAGGTTAACGCCGGAGTTTGCTGCTTTGAACAACTACTTCAAAAGTGAAACCAAAAAACGGAAGGGACATCACCCAGAACCACAGGAACGCTGGCTGAGTGGAAGTCCTACAACTAGGAGGAAAGAGAAACGCATACGGACACTCAGAGGAGGCGCAGTGCTGAAGTCAAATTCTGAGGTGCGGAGTGCGCGGAGCGGGCTGGCGGCGGAGGGCCCGGTTGGCGTTTTCAATCGGGAGGGAGTCGCAGACTCTGAGCTCCAGATCCGGGCGAGTCTTTAGGGACCCAGACTCAAACGGGAGAAGCGGGACTGTCTGGCTTCGGTCAGAGCGAGTGCAGCTTTCTCTCTGAGCTTTGCAGCGGGTGCTGGGACTCAGAGAGGCAGAGCCCCTGGGGACAGGACTGAGAGCCACCATAACTGCTCTCTCCGGCCCACCCTGTTGATCCTGTTCTACCCGCCCCGCCCAAGCCCTGCACACAGGCATTTGCCGGATAGCCTCAGGCAAAGGCTAGATTAGCACCTCCCTAGAGGACAGAAGTTCTCTCACTACTGACACAGCTGATTCTCATAGCCACTTGGCCTAGAGGTCAAACCCTCCCTGGAATTAGCTACAACAATCAAGATTTAACTATAAGACTGCAAACAAAGACCACTAGGAGGTGCACCAAGGAAGCATAACAAAATGCGGAGACAAAGAAACAGGACAAAATTGTCAATGGAAGATATAGAGTTCAGAACCACACTTTTAAGGTCTCTTAAGAACTGTCTAGAAGCCGCCGATAAATGTAGTGAGATCCTCAAGAAATCTAATGAGACCCTCGATCTTATATTGGGGAACCAACTAGAAATTAAGCATACACGGACTGAAATAACGAATATTATACAGACTCCCGACAGCAGACCAGAGGAGCGCAAGAATCAAGTCAATGATTTGAAATGCGAGGAAGCAAAAAACACCCAACCGGAAAAGCAAAATGAAAAAAGAATCCA